AGACGCTGCTGGTCTGGCCCCGGCGCTTAGCTGTGCGCGCGGCGCAGGGCGTCGTCGTGCTCGAAGCCGCGGCGGAGAGCTCAGTCACCTTGATGGCCGAGCTCTACCCTGCCACGGGGGCAAGCATCAGTCCAAAGGCCTTCAAGGTGCTTGAACGCCTCGAGAGAGCCGAAGCATCGCCAGCAGCAGCGCCAGTGCCAGCAGCAATGCCAGCGCGGGCAGGATAATCGCGAGCCCGACCGAAAGCGTCCGCTCCCCGACGCGAGCACCGAGCGCGTAGACATCCGTCGTCGCGGCAGCTGCCGCGCAGGCAGCCGACGCACTGGAACGCGCCTTGACCACGCCAGGCGGCTAGGAGAGCACCGCTGGTTTGTCGAGCCGCGCAAGGTTGTCCAAGAGCGCCGCGCCGGCCAAACCGGATCCTTTCCCCGCGAGGCGCGCGCGTGCTGCAGTCTCGACATCCTGTGGCGGGAGTTCCTGGGTCATAGGTGAGTCCTGGTACTGATGGGCTGCCTCCTGATCGAGCCCCGTGGACGAGCTTGCACCACCGGCGCCTATGCGTGGCGACCTCCTCGACGACGTCGAGCCGCGGCAGCCGCCTGACCCCGCGGCGCGTGGGTTCCTCGACCGCGACCTCAAGTCGTGGGCGCTGCGACGGGTCGCGCGCCTGAGGATTGGGCAAGTTCCGACGTCGCTAAGAGTTTGCGCATGTTACGAACCGGCGACGCATCGCAGGTATTGCGCGAGATCTGGGGACTACTTGTTACGCGGATTCAAGTGGACAAACCTGTAGTCGCAGTCCGTTGCCCGAACGGCGCCATGAAGGTGATCGCCGGCGCGATGGACGCATGCCGCGAGTACCGGGGCCTGGACGTGCAACGCGTCGCGGACCGACCGCACCCTCGGTCGAGCGGGTCGCGGCTCCTGATCAAGTTGTAGATGTGGACACCCGCCCCTGCCGCAAACATTTGACCTGGCACATGATCGACATAACCGACCAATGGCATGCAGCGCGGCTGCTCGAGGGAGATTCCAGCGGTGCTGGACATTTCTCTAAGCGGCTACGCTTTTCCATTCTCTCGTGTTGGATCTCATATTTCGGACCATTCAAGATCTTGCTTGTTGATGGCGGGCGGGGCGTACTTGGAGCCGAAGCTAAGCAATTCTCCGACTGGCGCGGCGTTGTGGTCCGCGTCCGAGCCTCAGATCAGCGCGCCCGAATCATCGAACGACGCGGTGCTCTGTTAGGGTGCGCCATTCACTGCGTTGACGAACATCAGCTGCGTGAAGGGTGGTGAGTCAGCATGCCCGACCTTATTATGTCCGAGGCTGCGTTTACAGGCACTTCTCGACGCTTCGCGCATCCCCATCAGCCCGTCCAGAAGCAGATCGCCTGGCGATTCGCTTGGATCAGGGGAGCGTAGGAGCATGCCGTGTCATGGCCGCCATGGAAGCGTTTTTTTTCGGCGGTCTCCCGGAGCCATTTTGGGACTCTCGTGGGGTCCGTGGATGTGCCTTTTGGGGCCCTCTTGAGGCCCTCTTGGGGCTCTCTCGGGGCCTTTTGTGGGCCCTCTCCTCTTTCGGTGGTAGTTGGGGCTTCTTGGGGCCATCTTGGCTTCCGTGGGTTCGATGGGGGGGGGGTCCTGGATTCAGCCCCCTCCCATCTGAGGGCCAGAAATGCCCTCTTGGGGTCGTTTCGGGCCGCTCCCAGGGGTCTGTTGGGCGCTCTCGTGGCCCCCTTGGGGCTCTCGTGGGCCTTCGTCGGAGCAGGCCTTGGGCCATTGTGGTGCCGTCGGGAGATTTCAAAATCCAATCGGAAGCGAAAAGGCGATAACGCTAGATGCAATGTTCCTTAGGTTCCGGAGCTGGTTTGGATACTCGGCAGTGTCTTTGGAGGGCTCGAAGAGCATTTGATGCCGTCGATGGGGCCGTCTCGAAGCCCCTTGGATATGCCCCGGAGGTCGGAGGTTACCTTGGCGCATCTTGAATTACGCGGAGCAATCTTGGATGCCGCGTCGTGTGATCAGAGGCCCTCTGGGCGCCGCCTGGGGCCATCTTGGATGCTTCGACCTTTCGCGGGGCGCCCCGTCCAGGCTGGAGGGGAGGTTGGGGGCGCCCCCCGAACGAGGACAAGAAGGGCTTTGGCCAGGCTGGGTGCGCGTGCGTCATGCCTGGTGCCCTATCTTTCATTCCCGTCCCTGGACATGGCGTAGTGATCTCCTTACTATTCGCGCAATCGGATGTCGTAGCATAGCATGGCAGCGCATGGAATGGCATGGTGTTGAAGATTAGCGCGTAGCATGCCATAGCATGGCGTGGCGACGCCCCGAAGTGGGGGGTGGCTTCTGCGGCCCAGAGTCAACGAATCGACTCCGAATATGAAACCACTCCCGTTTTTTTTTTTTGTTCTCGGGCAGAATTTTCATATTTGGAGACCTATTCCGAAGGGCCGAAGACAGTGCCGCTGCATGGCGCTGGTAATAGTGGCGCCTGCGCTGCAGCGGAAGCGCGATTCGGAACGGGCGGAAGCGTGGAAATGAGGCCGGCGCTGTTGCGGGAGCACGATCCGGTGCAATTTACTCATGATTCTGCCCCATCGTCCATCCCAAATATGAGTTCATACCATCCCAGCCCAGACGGAATCGCCCCCCCCGCCATCCTCTGCAAAAGATATTAGTCGCGCGCGTGGTCGTTTATCGAAGACCACAAGTTTTCAATAATTCCTTTCAACAGATGAGAGAAAGTGCACGCGCGCGCGTCGTCGCGCGCGCATGCCGAAATCCTTCAAAAATATTCCGGCTCGCAAGAATTTCGAGATCGAGTGTCCAAAAATCATATATCAGCACAGGGTTTCGCAAAAAAAGAGAAAAACGTGCGCATGCGTTCTTGCGAATTCTTAAGAAATCGCAGGTTTTCGCTATTTTCAGAAAGTGCCGCCAAACGGACTTCGCGCGGGCATGTCGATATCGTTCGAACACCCTTCGCGCGTGTGCCGTCGCGAGGACCCCTTGCAACAGGTGTGGCGAAGTGCGCGCGCGCGTCGTCGAGCGCGCATGCCGGAATCCGTTGAACATCAACGGTTTCGATGCGATTTCAAAACCGAATGTCCCAGAAACATGCGACGCATGGTTTCGCATCATTTCTCACGCAAGCGTGCGCGCGCGCTCTTGCGCATTCTGTAGGCGCCCATCGGTTTTTCAACGTGTTCATGGGATTCTGCCGCGTGGGCTTCTGGCGCCGCATGCCGACATCATTCGCGCGCCCTTGCGCGCGTGCTGGGGGAAGGGGGGGGGCGCAATCTGCGTCGTATAATGCCATGCGGGCCACTCTCGCGCGTCGGCCGCGCGCGCGTGTCGAACTCCATCCGGTACCTTCATTGCCGACGCGGGGGCGCCGTCATCGTCGTCGGCGTGGTCAGCATGGGCGCCCGCGCTGGCCGCGCTTTCGTCGGTGTCAGCGTCGTCGCCAGCGTCGCTGCGATCGTCGTCGCGTCTACCGTTGCCGACGTTGCCATGGTGCCGCGCCCGCCCAAGTCGCCGACTCGCAGTGAAGTGCCCGCTGGGATGCGCCCAGCTGTCGGCGCCGTCGCGGCCGCGTCGGTCGCGCCGAACTAGCTGGCCGCTGCGCGCGCGTGCAAGGGTTGGCGCGGCCGCAGACGTGCGCCAGCCAGCGCCAAGCATGCATCGTAATCGCCGCCGCGTGCATTCTGCAAACAAAAATGCGGGTGGGTGGGTGGGATAATTGCAAGAGCGTGGCATGTGTCAACTCGTCTGTGAAAATCCAGTGCGCCGCGTAGATTCTCCTTTCCGAAGAGAGAATAGACTCGACCTCCCCGGGATAATCGGTCCTCTTGTCGATTGGCCATTCGCGTATGATTCTGCCCCGTCGTCCATGTTAAAAATGAATTCAGACCATCCTGGCCCAGCTGGTATCGCCCCCCGCCCGCCCTCCTCTGCAAAATAAATATGCGTGCGCGCTCGCTACATCAAATATAGGTAGTTCCCGAGAGCCCCTTCAAACGAACAATTGACAAAATGCGGTCGCGCGCGTCTCGTCGCGCTCGCATGCCGAACTTCTTCAGCAAACTTCGGTTTCGTAAGAATTTCAAGTCGAGTGTCAAGACATATATAAACATGGTCTCGCAACGCGGATTTTCAAACAACAACTTGCGCGCGCTCTTGCGAATTCGGGATTTTCATGACATGCTACCAAACAGGCTTCGCGCGCACGCATGCCGAAATCTTTCGAACGCCCTTGTGCGCGTGCTGGGGGGGCACGATCCGCGCCGCATAGTGCCATGCGGGCCACTCTGGCGCGTCTGCCGCGCGCGCGTGTCCCTCCAAAACCTTCATTGCCGACGTGAAAACGCCGTCATCGTCGTCGGCGTGATCAGCATCGGCGCCCGAGCTGGCTGCCCCGTCGTCGCTGTCAGCATCGCCACCAGCTTCGCTACTATCATCGTCGTGTCTACGGTCGTCGACGTTGCCATGATACCGCGCCCGCCCAAGTCGTCGACTCGCAGTGAAGTGCCCGCTAGGATGCGCCGAGCGGTCAACGCCGCCGCGGCCGCTTCGGTCGCGCCAAACTAGCTAGCCGCTGCGCGCCCGAGCATGCTCGGGTCATTGCGGCTGCGGAAATGCACCAGCCAACGCCAAGCACTCATTGCAATAGCCGCCGCGTGGGCTTTGCAAACGAAGTTTTTCTCGTCAAGCTTCCAGCCGGCGGCCGGCGTCCAGAGTTTTGGCCTCAGCTTGAGGGCTCCTCGTTGTTTTGTGTGCTAGTTGCGAGTGGTTTCGATCCAACCTCAATCGTTCCGGTACCTTCTTGGGGTTTTGCTGGCACCTGTCTGTAGCACAATCTTTCTCTGCCTCTTTCCCTCCCTTATTCCCTCCCTCCCCGTTTACTTACCTACTCACCTACCCACCTACCCAGTTGTTTTCCTTTGACCACTGACTGGCCTATGTCACCTCTCATCCCTTCTCCCCCGACCGCCTTCCTGCAGCTCGAGCTTCTTCAAGAGCAGCTGCGCAAGAAGGCGGCTGTTGGGGGGGGCGCGCGGCCGCCGCCCCTTCGCCCGCCCCCTGGCCAGTCCTGTCTCCCCTGGCCAGGCCAGGTTAGAGGTTCGGGGAGCGATGCTCGCTCTCTGGAGGTTTTCCATAGTCCTGGGGCGCCCTCGTGGCCACGGCCGGGTCCGCTTCGGAATTCTGGACAAGCCGTTCCCCAATATTGGTCCAGGGTCGACCTTTGGCTTCTGATCTCGGCGTCGCTCGGGCCCGAGGGCCATGAAAATACGTCCGGCTGGAGCAAGTGGCTTGGGGGAGAGGGATCGGGACTGTGGGGGGCGCGCGCGCGTGGAACAGATCAGACCGGCGGACATTCGACAAACATACGGCGGCTGGGCTTCCATTCGTTTTGGCTTCCGGGGGCCCCTGCGGGGCCACGGGGGCGTCAGAGAACTAGCCAGGTGAGTTTTGGGGTGTGGTGAGTTGTGGTGAGTTGTCCAGTGAGTTATGGTGTTCCAGCTGTGTCCGAGGCCCTCAGACCCCTGGAGGCCCCTGGGGCTCTTAATGATGATGATGTTGTGGAAAGGAAAAAAAACGAGTCAGGATTAAATGCCGGTCGCCGGGAACGGGTCCAGACCTCTGGGGGCCCTCGCCCTGAGAAGATCACGACGCCGGGCGACTGGATGCGTCACACGGTCGGCGCTGAGAGCGGCAGGTTCGCGCCGCGTGGGCGCGGCGGCTGCTCCAGCGCAGGCGTTCCACGTCGGAGCGCTGGCGGCGGCCTGGCATCGGCTGGTGTAGACCGGACCTGCCCTCGCACACGGCCGCCCCGTCCACCCCCCATCGCCTCCCCCCCCGCGGCGCGCCGCCAAACGGGGGCGAAGAAACCAACCAGGGGCGGCGACAGGGGAGGGGGCTGGCCCGAGGGGGGGAGCCCGGAGATCCCGGCGGCACCTTTTATCCGCGCCTGGCGATTTCGCCCCGCGTCGGGCCACGGAACGCTCGCGGCAACCAGGCAGGCCCGAGAGCCGCCGCGGAAAATTGGGCTTGTGGCCCCAGTCATGGTTCTCCACGTGTTCGGCAAGTTCGCCTGGGGAAATGGATTTCCCTCCTTCGTCACCGCCTGCCTGGGTAATTGAGTGTGGCGCTCGTGTCATCCTTCGCCGCCATCGTGTGCACTTGCTGTGTCTTCTCCTTCGGCACCTTCCTCATGTTCCTGGCGCCCTACGTCGCCTTCGCGCCATTTTGGCCGCCTGAGTTTGCCTTGCAGCCGGTGGCATAGCCTGCCCCTGCTAGCCCGGCGTTCGACCCGTTTCGCGCGCCCGCGTACCAAAACGATGTCAGGGGACACCGACCTCCGATCGCGGCCCCCCCAGTCCGCCCACTTGTTCTCGGGGGCCTGTCGCTGACCCGTCGGCGGAGCGTCGCCGATGACAGGTCATAATTGTGTCCCCACCAAGCGCCAGCCCTCCCCTTTGCCGACCCTCCTCCTCTCCCTCCACCTTCTCCTTCTTCTCCTCCTTCTCCTCCTCCTCCTTCTTCCTCTCTCCTTCTCGTCCTCCTCCCCTCCTCCTCCTCCCCTCCTCCTCCTCCCTCCTCCTCCTCCTTCCTCCTCCTCTCCTCCTCCCTCTCCTCCTCCTCCCTCCTCCTCCTCCTCCTCCTCTTCTTCTTCTCTCTTCCCCCTCCTCCGCCTCCTCTTCCTCTTCCTCCTCCTTCTCCTTTTCTCTTCCCTCTTCCTCCCTCCTCCTCTCCTCCTCCTCCTCCTCCCTCCTCCTTCCTCCTTCCTCCTTCTCCTCCTCCTCCTCCTCCTCCTCCTCGTTCTTCTTCTCCTCCTCCTCCGCCTCCTCTTTCCGCTTCCTCCTCCTCCGCCTTTTCCTCTTCCTCTTCCTCCTCCTCGTCCTCCTCCTCCTCCTCCTCCTCCTCCTCCTCTCCTCTCCTCCTCCTCCTCCCCCTCCTTCTCCTTTTCCTCCTCCTTTTTCCGCTCCTCCTCCTCATCCTCCTGCTCCTCCGAGGTTTCACCGCGCGTTCTCGTTTCTTGATCGTCGTCGAGGAGCTGAGCCGTCGGATCTCCAGGGGGCGCGCGGTGCCTGACCCTGGGCCGCCCAGACTTCCTCACGCCGTGGTGTTTTTCGGTGTCGGCCCCAGAGCTTCGGCCAAAAATTGGACTGAGGATCGCTTTGGTTTCGCGAGGGGTTCGTCGCTCCTCCAGGGCCTTCCCTGGGTTCTCCCGGTGCGCTCGGCGTCAGCCTGGGCGAAGCTGGAGCCCCAAAGGGGCTGGAGCCCCAAAGGGGCTCTTCGTGCTCTGTTCAAGGTTGTTTGACTGCATCGGCTCCGTCCTCGGGCCAGCTTTTCTGTCGCGGGTCGTTTTCTTTGGGAGGCCCCTCGAGCCCAGCAGTGGTCCAGGGAGTTCCAATTCGCGAAAGCAAAGACGCCCGTGCGACGCCAGTGATCTGGGCTCGTCTTCCTCACAGTCGGCCCCGGGGCCTGTGCTGGAACGTGTTCCGAGGAAGATTTCGAGGCGAACCGCAGAGCGGCGACAAGGGCCGCTGGCATGCGTCACGAAAGAAGACAAGCACGCGCACACGAAAGAAGCTTCCGAAGGATCGGCGCAGGTGGATCCTCAGACCTCGGGTGCCGTGTTCTTCGCAATGCGCGGTCTCCCACGGAGCCTCTCGACTGCCTCCCTGGGTGCAAGTTTTTCGTTCGGGATGCCTGGGAAGCTCATTTGCGTGGCTTTCGCCCTTCGCCCCCCGCCGCCTTTTCCTTCAGCACGGGGCCGAACAAGCGCGCAAACAACTTTCGGTTTGCGCGATCTCCAGCGTCCCACATAATAAGGCTCGCTGAGGAACGCTCCTCCCTCCTCCCTCCTCCCTCCCTGCTCCCTTTCTCCTCCTTCCCTCCTCCACCATCATCACTTCTCCTCCTCCCTCCTGCTTACTTCCTCCTTCCTCCTCCTTTCTCCCTCCTCCCTCGCCTCTCCTCCCCACAGCCTCCTCCTCCTCCTCCTCCTCCTCCTCCTCCTCCTCCTCCCACCTTGCTCCTCCGCGCTCCTCCGCTTCTCGTGCCCCTAGTGCTGGGCGTGGGAAGCCCTCTCGACCGCCCGTTTTGCGCGGTGGTCCTCACCCTCCTGCTGCTCCTGAACCCCGGCTTGCTGCCTCACGCAAGGGTTGTTCTACACGCGCGGCAGCGTGTTTCTCTCGGCAGCGACGGAGGCTTCAGCGACGCTGCCCATCGTGTGTCATGCTAATGCTGTGTGCACAACCGAGCTTTGACATCAGGGACGGGCGAACTTTACGATGAATCTTGGGGGGCGGGGGCAACATTACTCTCCTTAGCCCGCGTACATTGTCGTACATGCAATGCGAAGCCCTCCTCTTCCTCCTCCTCCTCCTCCTCCTTCCTCCTCCCTCTTTCTCCTGTTCCTGCTCCCTTCTCCTCCTCTTCTTCCTCTCCCTCTCCCCTTTGCTCCTTCTCCTCCCGCCCCCTCCTTCCCCTCCTTCCTCCTTCCTCCTCCTCCCTCTTCTTCCTCCTCCCTGTTCCTCCTCCCTGTCCCTCCTCCCTACTCCTGCTCCTGCTCCTGCTCCTCCTCCTCCTACTCTCCACTGCTTGGGGGTTGCCAGATGTGTTCTTTTGCCGTCCCCCGTCTGTTCTTATGGCAGCCGTGGAAACATACAGTAGCAAGTCTGTCACCACGACGGATAGTATGTATGCTGGTGACACGATGCTTCTCGCAAACCGGCTGGACTCATTTCAACGCCATCTGGATATCGCGGCGAATCTTGGGAAAGGAGCTGGGTTGGAACTGAACGAAGGGACAACAATGTTAATGATCATCCGTTCAGACGCTGCCATAGTGCGGCCTGGAACGGCTTCCAAATTGGGATGGGAATCCACACTCTGAACTTACAGGGCGGTTCGCGGAAGCGAACGGCGTTTTTCAGCAATTGTGCAATGTGTGGAATCACGCGAATGTGAGCCGACAAACGAAACCTTTACGAATGGACACGTGAATATGTTCAACATTGTTGTATACATCGGAATAGCGTCTCTTACCATCACGCGATTTGGATCCACTCGATGGTTTCCATGCGAGGTGTCTCCAGGTTCGCTTACTACGACAAGAAGATCGAATCAGGCCTCGTTACACCACTACAAGACCGTCCCATTGTCAACGGGCTTCCTTGGGTCACGCACCGACCGCTGGACACCGAGCGACTGGAGACCGTCGGCAAAAAGCTAGGAAAAGACGTGGACGAATTCAGGTACGAGATGTGCGACTTACACATCGAGGAGATGACGTCTGGAGACGTTCACCGCGTGCTCATGATTGACAATCCACATGCTGACATCACCTCCAATGCCAAGAGCGGCAACGCCAACATCCACGAGGCTGCCACTTGCCTCGAAGTAGTGCGCGCGCTTGTCCCCGCCATGCGTGACACTGGATTAACTGTCAAGGTGATCGCCCCCTATGCGGTACAACGGACCGTTCTGTACGGCGGGTGGCCACAGGGCAGGAATGGCTTCTGGAAGAACGCTGCGCTGGCTGAATCGAAGCAGCGGAAGAGAAGCCAAGGCATTACAGCGGCTTTTGTGCCAAATCCACCGGGTCAGTCATCCACTCCCTCCTCCCAATTTGATTCCCAACCACGCGCGGTTAGCGCGCCTCTGGCCTGGGCGCTGACTGCCCGCTCGATGGTCCCCCTACAGCCGACAATGGGTTGGCACTTTCGATCAAAGGATTGGCCGAAACGTTCCCTGACCTGATGGCAACTGGTCAGCTCTCTCTCTCTCTCTCTCTCTCTTTTTTTGTTTTTTCTCTCTCTCTCTCTCTCTCTCTCCATTATTGACGCCAGTCAGGGAGGAGAAGCGGACATAGCCATCGACCTTAGCATGCGCTCCAACTGGTATTACGACTGGGGTTTCCTCAACGCGCCAAACAGGACCAACGTTGTCCTGACCAGAGCCAATTGGTTCGTGGTCCTCATCGGCGACCGGCGAATGTTCAAGGCTGCGACTGAGTCTGCTCTTCGAACCCTCGCCGAATACGGGGTGACCGCAAATCTCTGGGTGAGACCTGCCTACACGGAGCCTTGGCAGGGGCGCGAAGCCCTTTAGCCCGCTTGCACACTGGGATGCGACTGCTGAAATCGGTACCGCCATACCGGGCAGCAGCCCAATCGCAACAACGCCGAGCGCTGCATCCAGCATCCATAAGCATAAGGTTAAAATGCGAGGGGATCAGGCCAAAGGTTTCGTCTACAGCATCGACGGACCGCTACCGGAAGGGTTTGAATGGGGAGCCCTGGCAAGGCAGCTCAACAACTCGCTAAGGGCGCTCCTGGCCGCACCCGCTCTCTTTCTTGTCCTCTTCCTCGTTTCTGGCCTTCACCCGCGAGCCCTGAGTCCTGCGCAACATCCCAACGATCCCAATCCCTACGACAGGAAAATGCGGAGCCACAAAGGGGTTATCGACGATGTTACGGTCGGAATTGATGCCGGCAACCTGACATGCAACATTCTCTGGGCGTGCTTGATGCGTGCAGTCGGGCTTCGCCACAAGTGGGGCGTCGCGAGCACCTTGCTCGCGGTGGCCAACCTGCCTGAAAGACCAAAAGGCTGTCTACAAATCGCGCATCCAAGGATTGTCGGGGCTCGCCAGCTGGCATGGGCAAACAGCTACCCACGGTATAGAGTGCCACGACGACACAGTGTCCAATGCGCCAACCTTATCCAGGGATGGACGGCCTGCAAAACATCATCCACGGCGACTAGGTGCCAACTGACCCCACCGCACGCGCTCAGACCTGCACGGCATTCGCGATGATGATGCAGCGCTTCGGGAACCGAGGACCTGTCTCCTCCCGCTCTCCGAACAAGAAGGGACGGGATATCGTGGAGGCCGTCATGGGCACATGCGAACCTGGCAGCTCAACTGGCACCAAATCCGTTGCAAAAGACCTTCATTTCCGGACGCAGTTTGGCCTGGCATGGAATATTTCCAGTCATGACTACCAGAACCTGCATCGGAGATTCACTGTCGCGCCAAGACACGTGGGCGTGCTTATAAGTATCAGCCACCATCACGATGTCTCGAAGCAAGCAAGGTGTCCGACAACGCGGGAAGAATGCAAACGATCTGACTTTCACATCAAAGGGATCCTGCTGGTGATCGACCAGCTCGTTGAACCGCTCCAATTTCCGCTGGCTCCCACCGACGGCCAGCCTGACAACGGGAGGAGGAGGAGGAGGAGGAGGAGGAGGAGGAGGAGGAGGAGGAGGAGGAGGAGGAGGAGGAGGAGGAGGAGGAGGAGGAGGAGGAACAGGAGGGGGAGGAGGAGCGGCAACGGTTTGGCTGGAGCTCGCATCCTCCCAACAAGGTGGGCCTCTTCGACTGCGACGCCTATTCGGTGCTGAGCAGCCGTGACCTGCCGGCCGCTCCTCGTTGGCATCTTACCCCTTCCCCCCTTGCGCCCTCCAGGGACGGCGCGGCGGCGCAGGAGGAGGATCAGGGGTGGAGGAGGAGGAGGATGAGGAGGAGGAGGAGAGGATGAGGAGGACGGAGGAGGAGGAGGAGGAGGAGGAGGAGGAGGAGGAGGAGGAGGAGGAGGAGGAGGGGAGGAGGAGGAGGAGGAGGAGGGAGGAGTGGAGGAGGAGGAGGAGGAGGAGGAGGAGGAGGAGGAGGAGGAGGAGGAGGAGGAGGAGGAGGAGGAGGAGGAGGAGGAGGAGGAGGAGGAGGAGGGGGAAGAGGAGGAGGGAGAGGAGGAGGAGGAGGAGGGAGGAGGAGGAGGAGGAGGAGGAGGAGGAGGAGGAGGAGGGAGGAGGAGGAGGAGGAGGAGGAGGGTGAGGGGTGGGGGGAGGACGAGGAGGAGGAGGGGGAGGAGGAGGAGGAGGAGGGAGGAGGAGGAGGAGGAGGAGGAGGAGGAGGAGGAGGAGGAAGAGTAGGATGAGGAGGAGGAGGAGGACGAGGAGGAGGAGGTGGAGGAGGAGGAGGAGGAGGAGGGGTGAGGGGTGGGGGGGGCAGTGTCTATTTCTATCCGATCGATCCGATTCGATATCGATTCTGGTTGCCCCGATCCGATTCGACTGCGGCGTTCCGGCGGTGCGATGCGGCCCGAGGCCTGCACGGCGCTATTGTGCATCCTGGCTCACCTGGTCTGATTCGATTCAAGTGGCTGGCGCCACTTCGCTGACCCCCAGAAGGAGTCAGAATTGCCAAGATCGTGGAAGTTTTCGAGGCCGCCAGCGGCGAGTCACCGCCGCCACCTGCCTTTTAGGACACGCTTCTGAGGCCAACCATGTGGCCAAGTTTGGCAACGCTATTGGACTATGCGTTACCCCCAGCCGTTGTGGAAGCCATTCGGGGAAGACGTGGGTGAGGAGGATGAGGCGAGGGAAGAAAAAGGAGGATGAGGAGAAGGATGAGACCTCTTGGGAGCTTCTTGGGTCATGCGGAGCCTCCTGGGAGCTTCCTAGGGGCCTCTTGGAGGCCTCTTGGGCGCCTTCGTGGGCCTCTTGGGGGCTTTTGGGGGCTTCATTGGCCGTCTTGCGGCGTTCCTTTGCCCGTCTGACGCCGTAGGAAGCCGTCTTCGGAGTCCCTCTCTGGGCCGTCTTGGAGCCCTTTTGGGGCGCTTCAGGGCCCCTGGAGGGATTTATCGTTATGAAGGTCTGTCGGCAGGTGCCGCCGACCCTGAAGGCGGGACCTCTACCAGGATCCCAGGGTCCACGCTTAGGTCGGGCATGTCCCCCC